GCATTAACTGTAAGTATGAATATCCTCAACTAGAGAGGAGTGCACGGTGGCTTTGGTTGTTCTCCACAACAGAATTTGCCTGCTGCAGGTGAACTGCAGTGCATGCTGTCCAGCCTGGGGCAAATTGCTCTTGTGTCTGAGCTGGGTCTCTTGATTAAAATGTCTTGGAAAAAGCAGAAAGATCCTTCTTAGGAGAAAGGTGTTTCTGTTGCTGTGTCGCCTGTTTAAAGAACGTGGAACAAGTAGAGAGGAGCTAGTCCAGCAGGAGGTCTGCAAAAATCTTGGATGCCCTTCTAGTAATCTAGTGTTGTAATGATATAACCCTTCATTAGAATTTTATATTAATTACTTTTTTCATAGTCAACTTCCTGCCTACTTAATTTATACCAAGAATCTTGACACACTGACAGTTGGGGGTTACATATTCTTGTGCCTGCTGCATAAATCAGTTGGCAAATACTTTTTTTTTTTTTTTTTTCTTTCAATCTCGGTCCCCCGCTTTCCTCTTCGCCGGTTTGCATGGTGAAACAGCTTCCTCGGGGCCGCGCATTGGTTTTGGTTTGGGTTTGTCTTTTAGGTTTGTGTGTGGTGGGGGGAATCGTAGGACAGGTTAGCCCAGGCCGCAATTAATTTTAGCCTAAAAAAAAAATCCTCTCGCCCTACTCCTAGGTCGTAGCCCTTGGAGACGTCCCCGATGGGACGGTGGTGACGGTGATGGCCGGGAATGATGAGAATTACTCCGCAGAGCTCCGCAATGCCTCCGCCGTGATGAAAAACCAAGTGGCGAGGTTTAACGACCTCCGGTTTGTTGGGAGAAGCGGCAGGGGTAGGTATCGGCTCCCGAGGGCGAGCGGCAGGTGAAGGCGCTCGGAGCTGGATGCGGCCGCCAGCCCGCCCGGGAGTGCGGGAAATGCTGGAAGGGGCGGGCGGGGGGGGGGGCTCCTGTTCCGTCGTTTCACCTGAATTTCAAATTCTATTTATCCCCTTCCAGCACTTCCTACACTGCAGATTAGGGCGCTTAGCGTATTCCTATTTTTTTCCCCTAAATGAATAATTATTTTAATGGTCGTACGGCAGTATTTTCTCAAGCTATTCAAACGTGTGCCTATAGAATGTCGGGGACATTTTTATTTCTCTGCATTAATTAAAAGCAGCGATGTTGCGAATTATTTGCATGTAATAACTGTTTACTTGTTCCTTTTTATGAAACTTGAATAGTTTACATTCTTTCATACATTTCCTTTTTCCTGTTGGCTCCTTCTCCAAGTCGCAGTTTCTTTAAAACTCTCCACTTAACTGGTTGCAGGTTGATGAATGGAAAATGTTTTTTCTTTTATGAATTAAGCTTTCATTTCTGTAATCAATTATTCTCTTGGGCTCTCTTCTTTATTTTTTTTTTATTCTCTTTACACAAATTTCCAAACCGAATGCAACGCAATCTCAGTTTGACTCTTGAATTCATTATTAACGTTCCTCCTCCGCGGCCCCGTGCTTCAGCGCTGAAATAACAGTAGTTTGCAGACTCCTGAAAGCTCCTTCCTCCAGCTGAGCCCCGACTGATGCTCATGACAGTAGTGGGAGCACCTGCCCGGGCTCGGAGGCGGGGGGGGATGGCTCTGCTTCCCCCGGCTGTGTCCAGCCCGGGGACATGGGCCGAGAGGAGCAGCTCCGCAAGTGCAACCAAAATGCAAATTTCTTCTCGTGCTCTTGCGGAGGGCGCTTTGAGAAGCGGCACGAAAATAGCTCGTCCGCGGAGCTGATGCGAAACCGGGGCCGCGGGTGCGCTTGTCTCGCCGGGGACGGACGAGTCCTCCCGGGGAGGAGCTCGGCAGCACCGCCCGGGCAGACCCTGCAGCGAGTTTGGGGCGAAAATCGTTTCCACTGCGTTTTTTTATTATTATTTTTATTTATTTTTATTTAAGTCCGGGTGCCGCAGTTGCTTTCTCGTGTTTGCCCTCTTGATCTCGGGAAGCCCCGGGCTGCTTTCGTTTATTCTGGCAGAAATCCGCATTTGCTTCGAAACGCTTTGGCGGAGCCGCGTGTGTAAATGCGGCGCGGGGAGGTGCGCGGAGCTGCGGGGCTCTGCTCAACCGCAGCCAAATCCAGGCTCCCTCTTGCAAAAAGGAGTTGCGAGGCGGGCAGGACTGGGCCCTTTTATTTTGGCAGTGGGTAATAATTGTCTCCTAGCAGGTGAGAAACGGGAGAGAGCGAGTCCTTATGTGCTCCCCCTCTTTCCAAAATTCCCGTGTGCAAGGGGAGGGGGGAGGCTTGAGCTTCCTCTTTTTGCACAGCAGCAAAGAGCGCTTTTTGTGTTGTTTGTTTTGTTTTTTTCCTCCCTTTTTGCTCGCTCTTCCCATTTGCTCCGAGCCTCGCGACTCGCGTAGCGCCGCGTAAAGCGAAAGCGCCGCGCGGTGCCCGGGGCATCCCCGGGCCCCCCGCACCCCGCCCCGCCGGGACGAGCCCCGCGCTCGCTCCCCCGGAAGGCAAGAAATGAGTGGTTTAAAAAAAATAAAAAAAAATAAAAAAAAAAAAGAGCGAGAGAGAGAGAAGGAAAAATCAAAACGGGGCTGAGTAATAATCGTCATCCTGGGTGCATGGGAGAGGATTTCGGAGAGGAGGCGAAATGCCCCGTTTGGCCCTCACGGAGGAGGGGAAAGGGAGGTGCGGGGAAGCCCGGGGCGTCCCGGGCCGAGCGGGAGCCGGAGCCCCCGGAGCAAACGGCCTCCCGGTAACGGAGGGGACTTCGCTGCTCCCCCTGCGCGGAGCCGTCGCGCTGCTCCTCGGTGCCGGTTCCTGCTGCAGCTGTTTCGCTTCCGAATTAAATCTGGCTTGGAACGGGAAAAGAAAAATAGATCTGAAGGCTCGTGCGTGGTTTTTGGTCCTACTTTAAGAGCTTTGTGGGGCACGGAGGCGGCTGGTTCCCATGAATGCTGCTCCCTGTCTTCTTTAAAGCCAGTGTTTTCTCTCCCCGCAATGCTCCGGTAAGGAAATTTCTCCGCCCAGGATAATTGCAGGATGTTTTCTGAAAGAAATATTTAAGATTTTTTTTTCTACTCTTTCTTGCTGTGCAAATACCCACGGTCATAGGACAGGAGACCCTGGGCACGTGCAGCCCCTGTGGGCAGCAAATCGGATACCTGGGCCTGTCCCAGGGTGTCATGAGGAGCGTGGCCGGAGCTGGGGTTCTCCTCCAAACACTGACTTGGCTGCTCCATGTGTGGGGCTGTGTGGGCCCCAAAACACCTTTTTTAGACACCAAATGTCATGCTTGCTTGCAAAGCTGTGCCACCTCGGCAAACCTTTCCTCGTGGCAATCCCGGCATGGTGTTTTTGGGGAGATTGCTGTGGGGAAAATAGCATCACTTAAAATTAATGGAGGTGCTGGAGTGCATCCCCATCTAAGATACCTGCGTCTGCGCTCACTTGCAGAACTGCTGAAACTCATGTGAAAATTCTCTTTTCTCTGTTTTCTCCCTGCTCCTTCCCCAAACTCCTGTAGG